AACAGTTAAGGATCAAGGTTGAGCTCACAGTTTAGGCTCTGATCAATGAGTAGAGAAAAGCCTCTGGAGTATAATCCACTATGAATAATGAATCATTATAGATAGTGAATCGTTATCCATAGCACTATTTCAGATGTTAGAGATGCTCTAAAATGTTAGGACTTAAAGTGTGAAGAAAATGACATGGAGCTGGACATGCAGCCAAGCAAAGACATGCTGTCCTTGCTCTGTGCCATAAAGAACAAGCTAGCGGTTGTGCGAAAGTACATCCACATCAGTATACAACCCTGATACAACACCTTTTTAGTACAGTCATGGATGTGTGTTGACGTGACTTGCAGACTGGACTTGTTCCTGCACACAGGCTTCAAACTCATCATCATTCCCTTCTATTATATTTCTATTCTTAAATCACCAGTACTCACAGCTGTTATATTTCATGAGTACTAAATAACTTTTAATAACCAAATGAAAGGAAACTTATTATCTTTTCTCCTAAATCTCTGCATCTGACCAGAACAGATTTGTGTGGGACATTCTAAAGGTAGAATCGTGTGAATGGTTGATGAGCATTTCTGCAAAGTATCTGATGGAGAGAATTTCATGATACTCCTCAACGTTTTAATCCTACATAATTATCCTGTAATATTTAAAAGATATTTAACATAGTTGCAAGGCTGAAGGGCGTAAGGAGAAAGGTTTTTTCTAGTCTCAAACGCACAGGAATGCTGAGGTTTTCAAGACATATTATGATGTGAACCTGTGGGTTTGAAGGCACAGCTCTGAACAGTGATGCATGGTAAAGAGAACTAGTGTCGAGAGGAATTGCAATTACAGTAGAAGGTAAAATATTTCAAAGGAGCACATCAATTTGTACCAACCAAAAATAGAAAAAGTAACCTATGTACTCTTATTTAAGATATTGCTGAAAAACTAGGAGCTTAGATCCATGGAAAAGTCATTTTAAAATTCAGACATTACTCTCATTTCCACCTTACCCCTTTTCAGAAATAAACATATGCTTTATAGGTCTAATTAAATTATTTTTCAGATGAAATTGCAAAAAAAAAGATAACATTTTTTCCAATATTTTTTTCAAAACTTTTTTATTTCCAATAAAAATTGTGAAGAATTCTCAGCAAATTCAATAGCACTTGTCCCGAATAATATACTGCTGAAAATTGACTCTCATAATCTCTTCTAGATGTAAATGTAAAACTATAACTCGTATTTTCTTCAAATTCAAAATGAATAAACCCATAGTAATGTCTACCACAGTCACCAGTGACCTCTTAGAACTTTTATTTCAGCTCAGATGAATGAGAAGTTTAATGATGGTATTTCTGAAATCAAGTAGGATTTTTTTTCTCAGTGGTGCTAAGATTTACCAGTAGTATTCAACAGATTATTTCCAAAAGTAAGGAGAAATCTTATCTTTGAACTCAATTGAAACTTGAATGAAGTTACTCATAGGAGTTGAATGTGAACAGGATTATAATAAACAATGAAACTGTATTCCCATACATGTCTGCTGAGACCAAAATAAAAATGGATTATAATGATTATAAGATTTAACAATTATGCATATTACATTAAACTCATATTAATGTTAGAGATACTTCTGCTGTTGCTCTATTTTTTAAAAAGCTGTGGATCATTTGAGAACATGAACAATATGTGCATATGTTAGTTAGCTTTTATGGTGGATTTTATGAGTTTTCTAGAACAGTCACACAATTTTATTCTTTCACATCCTCACTCATATATTTCATTCTTTCTTTCATTTTCACACAAGTCACAGAGGAGAAATAGGTATAGATATATTTTTATTTCAGATGTAAAATTGATACCTCACTTGTAAGTTACGCAAGGAAAATAAGAAGATTCATTAAACAGAACTACAAGTTGTCTGTGAATAGTGATTTGCAGTTTGGGAGTACTTTCCTTTGAAATCATTAAATCTACACAGCTAAAGTAATTTTATCTCCTTGAAAAACTCCACTTACTACCTCATACTGATGAAGAAAAAAGTGAGGTTTTTAAAAATAAGTTTCCTAATGACCCAGAGAACGTTTCCTCTATATTTGCCATGTTATACACATTTACTTTCTGTAGCATACACAAAAGCAAATTTCAAAAAAATTAGTTACATGTGATTTAAAGGAAATTTTCCAAATGCATGAATTTCAGAGTAATCTCATAGCAGCTAAATGAGACAACTTTCACGGTTTATAATGTCTTCACTGTTTCTCAGAAATATACATGATGAAAAAATTCCACTTACCAATCAATCCATTCTATTCAGCAGAACCAGTTTTCTTCCACGACAATAGAGCAAAAGCATCTTTGTCACTGATTTTACTGGAAGTAGGGCTGAAGGGCAAATAAGCAATAATGGGCAACAAGCATGGCACCCTTATGGTGCCAAAGAAAGTGTACCTGCACACCTATCTCATTCATAAAACAGCAGTTGCTAAGTAGTATTGCACTGTACCAACATAAAGTATTCCTACTGTGGACATGTGTTGTCATCAATAATGATTAATGAAACATTTTCCTGGCCACAGTGGCTGTTTTGCAGCCAGCAATCATGACATAATTATATTTCATATAGAAAGAGGACAAGCATATAAGGAGTTTACACTTAAAACTGAACCCAAAACAACAAGAGAGTTACAAAATCTCCAGAAAGTCACTCAAGAAAGAGTATAAATTTGAATATCAAAGTGAAGTGTGCAATTAAAAATAAAATATGAGAGCTAACAAATGGGAAAAAAAAGAAACTAATATCATTATTTGTACTACTTCTAACATATACAAATAGTTATATCAAAGTATACCAAATTAAAATACGTAGCTAAGGATGTGAAAGGAATATCATAAGTGGTCGGGCTAAAGACTATAAGATTTATTAGTGCATCAGAGACAGAAGATCCTGTTTATTCTTCGTATTTAGAATTGAACACGTTGAAGTACTTGTGTCAGATAAGAATGGGAAGTACTTTTAATCTTCTAATTGACAAGTATGTAAAATAACTTCTAATAGGAAGCAAACTTTATCAATTAGACCCGAACAAGCCGCACAGAAGAGTCCTCAAACCAAACCTACAGAACACCAAAATTTGAAATCAGCCAGCAAGAAAGTAATTTAATATTAATAATGAGCAAGGTATCAAGCTTCTATGGTGATACAGTAGGGGAAAAAAAAGAGTTCTTATGATCCACACCCATCATATGATCCACAACCATCTATAAAAAAAAAAAGATATACATGATTGGAGCACTGAAGAAAAAGAGATCAGTCTGGTTTTTTTAGTAAGGAAAAAAAAAAGTGATCTGATTTCCATACATGTATTTCTTCTGTGGGGGATAGTGATAAAGAATAGAAAGGTATTGTAGGGACTATGCCTCAGAGATGAATCCACACACGCTCAAAATAAAGTATCTTTTGTCAGGTTAAGTAATCAGTGCAGCAAACTGATAAGGGAAACAATGATTGCCTCTTTCTCATATATTCAAACAAATAGTGGATACCATTCCATATGGGACTATATGTTAGCCAAGAAACAAACTTTGTGAAGGTAATTATGTTAATAGGCTCAGTGAAATTCAGTGATTTGTGACATTCAGGAGATAAGATTAGAGAAACCTTCTGACCTCCAACTACAAGTCTGGGAATTTTCTGAATTTCTATAAAGTACTAGAATTTGGAGCATCTTGTCTGGAAGTTTGAGTACAACTGCAGTAACTCACAGCCTGATTTTAACTGGCTGAAGAATAGCTAGAGCTTTACTCATGGTTGGTTGCCATGTCTGTATTTGTTGTGTCTCAAATTGGACACCCTGAAATACTGAGGGAAAGGTGTTCTTTTAATAAAACTTCATATAGTTACAGAATTGGAAGTTAGCAAATGATGGCAGAAGTTAATAGAAGCTTTGAATTTGAATCTGTGCTATGAAGTACTTTTCCCCATCTAAACTAGCACAAGATCCAACTGTGTTTATATCCAAGTTCAGACTTGAAAGCAATTCAAATCAATACAAAATATTTTTTGAAAAAGTATCAGCATGTAACTGTTACATTTTCTTTTATGATGTCCTCCAAGATTCTTTTCGAATACCTGAAGCAGTTTAGTTTTCAGCTCACAATCAAACATTTTATAACTACAGTTCTTTTTTTCTTTTTTCTTTTCTTCCCCCCTAAGCATCAACTGCCATATTTAGACAAATGTATGTCTGTACCAAAAAGCCCAGTGGGTGCACAACGACTGATGTGTGTTTGGGCTAAAAAGAAAATTGAATGAGTCCAAACACTATCTAATCTATTTCTTTCCTCACTATGAATGTAAATGACACAGTTTCCACACAGGCCTGTGTGGAATAGCAAGCTACAGTGAAAAGCCCTTCCACTCCTGTGAGCAGGCATATAATGCTGTGAGTCAGAAGCGGTAGTGCCATTAATAAATATTTCTTGCACAACCAGTTTTGTAACTTAAAGAATATTGCAACAGAAAAGGTCTCCAAAACTTTGGTCAACTTAATTTATTCAAGATACAGTGGTACTGAAATCCCCTTCCTAGATGGACATATCACTTACTGATCTCCTGAACGGCAGTTTCATTGCAGGAAAAATGGGATGTGTTGGAATTTGCTAAATTCATCCAGGTTTTGAAGTCATGATTTTCTTTTACCTATTGAGTGAAAGTGTTCAGGAGTAAAGCATAGAGTGCTAAAGAAGCTCTAGAGAGAGTATTTCAAGTGATTTACTTGATCTCAATAAAAACTTGGCCTCCCTTGTGGGTGAAAGAGACACATTCCATGTAACAAACCGTTTATTAAGGATTCCCTACAGAAAGTGAGGTATATCAAGCATTATATGAACCTTAATTGTGGTTATATTTTATTGCTACTTAGATTATTAAGTGTTTAAACTACCAGATAACAGAATCTATATTCTCAATAGTGGAAGAGTGCTAACAGTAATTTTATTAAATATTTCAGCCCTGTTCCAACAATCTCTTGGAGGAAAGTTAATGGTCATAATCCAAGTAAAGCCCGCCTGAGAAAATCCCAAGCTGTGCTTGAAATACCTAATGTGCAGCTGGAGGATGCAGGGATGTATGAATGTAAGGCTGAAAACTCTCGTGGAAGAAACGTCTTCAGAGGACAACTACAAGTGTACAGTAAGTGTAATTGCACACAGTATTATCCAGCAATGCTTTGTCCGCACTTAAGGCTTTAACCACATATGAAGGATGCTAAGGTCCAGTAGAAATGAAATATCTTTCTCCTGAAATACAATTAGTATTGAATTAAGCTGTATATTTTTATTCCTTAGTAATGCATTAAAGTCTGAAATAGAAATAAAGTTGACTCCCTCAACGAACTGGCTTAAATACAATTTCATATTTGATGTTTATGGGGGTTTGGGGGTTTTTTAAAAGGGTATCGCTATAATTTTAAGTCTTTTTTTTTTCTCCTGATATGATATATAACAATATGATATATGACATGCAACGCAAGCATGATGTATCTGTCAGAAAACAATATTAGAAATATTTTAGGATTTTTATCACAGTTTTATTAATGTTTCACCCTTGCCGTGCTTGGGTGCTGAGTTTCGTCAAATTCATTGTACAGGAATCAGAGCTGGAGAAGTGCTTCTGTTTTTGTAAAAAAATCTCAATCTAGGTATGCACAATTTCTGAAGGTTCTGATTTTCAGAAAGTGCTGAACATTTTCTCTCAAGGATTGGTCTTTCTAAAAGCTTTTTGATTGAGCATAAAAAAAATTGAATCATGCATCCCATTGAAAAGAAAAAACACAACAGGAAATTAAAAATATTTAGTAAAAATCATGAATTTTATATAATATTGTTGCTGCATCATGAAGGCTAGAAACAAAAGCTTATATAAGACATGCCCTGAATATTTACAAGTCAAAGTCTTCCTTATATTGAATGTATGCTTAAGTCCCACCTACTTCTTATCAATTAAAGCTACATCACTTGCTATCATTCCATGAATCCTACAAACTTAAATACTTAACAGGAAAGGTCTACTGCAGGACATCATGCAACAAATCTTTCAGACTCTGAATCATTTTCAGTCTGCAAATATCGCAGTCAGTGGAATTCCAACTACTGCAGCTTAGACAGGTCCTCAGGCTAATAGATGCCTTTAAGAAGCAGTCTCTCCTGTTAATCAATTTTATTTTTCTTCTCTTGATTTCAGCCATGGCTCCCAGTGCTTTGTCCCCATTACTAACTCTACACAATTCTCTGTCTTTGTTACACACTTTCATCAAATAACCGTAGACTGGCATCATATATTTAGTTTATTTTCCACATGTGTCAATATTTCCAGGTCCATAATCAATTTTCCTGTCTCCTCCAGCTTTCCAATGTCTTTATCTTAGCTCCGTTGTTTTTAGTGAGTATCAGCATATCTCTGGATGATGCTTCTCTCCTTGCTTTTCATTCTTATACACCTAAAGCCAAGGGCAGGTTTTTGTCTTCATTTTTTTTTGTATATGCTGGAAAAAATATGTGATGGCAAAGGTGGTAGTTTGCACCTTTAATTTTGGACATGCCATCCATACTGCACTTGCAGCAAAGGTTTTATAAGGCTTTTACTGAAAACAGCAGTCAAAGCCCAGGAACTACTTGATGTCTCCTACTATGCCAATATCCCAGCGATACTTCTCTGGTATTACAAATTCTTACTGTCAATTACTTCCATGAAAATATAGCAGCTCCTGCTAGGGACTTCGGGCCAGGGGCGTTTAGCAGCATGCCTGGTCTTTTTCGACAACATTTCTTAAAATGTGTGAAATTAATTTGAGTTATAAGGTGTACCCCAGCTCATGCACTTACTGGCTGTTTCTAGAGCTGTGAAACTACAAGATACCACATCACCTTATAAAGGAGTTACAATTATCTCTCCCTCCCTCTTTCAGAGTTAAAGGAATATAAAAGATGTTTTTCAAGAGAGAAACTAAGATGCTGGAAAATGAAATTTCCTCAAGAGTACCCTGCAGACCTGTAGCATAAAACCACAGCAAACACGATCTAGTGTTCTACACAATTTTGCCTCTCTCATTAGCCTGGACACATTTTTGTTTTGAACAGAAACAAAGATGGTACTCAAATCTAGGAGTCTATAGAAAACATTTTGTTCTACTCTGTGAAGATAGAAATATGAATTTTTAGTTCTCCACCATTGTCAAAATTATATTTTTTACAATCACTGCCTTTATGGATAGTGCACTATTTGTGCTAATTGGCATTTTTTGCAATAATATTAGAACAACTTCTTTAACATTGTAGAAAGGGGGTCCACTTCAGATTGTCTCATTTTTCTGATTAACAGATAAGTGAGACTGGTATATTATTAAGTTTCTTTTAAGTCTATTATTATACGTTAGACCTTACAAATAAGTCAAAACCAGATCTGAGTCAGAGTTTCACCTATCTGCATTAGCAGGGAGCAAGGTCAGAGCAGGTAACAGAGGGCTTCCAGATGGAGGAGACCAGCAGTGACCTCCAGTACAGCAGAACAAGAAGCACCAACTGTTTCTAGCCCCCTACAAGTGCCTTTTCTTGACCTCAAGATGAAGTACTCCCCAGTGAGTCTTTCGCAGACTTCTGTGCTCCTGAAGACAGCATTAGTGTCTCATTGGCCTACAAACCTTGTCAACCCTTCCCAGGCGTATAAGAGGGTTTGGGTAAGAAGGTTTTTAACAGCGCAAAGTACAGCCAAATGTTACTTTACAAAATTCTCAGCTTCCTTCACTGACAGCTGATATGGCAGGATTTGGGGGCATCACTTGAAACAACATTTCCTGCTGTACCTCTTATTCATAACAGGCAACATGAATTATTTACCTTTAAGCTCATTGTCTTTTCAGTGACATCTTATTCCTCCAGGAGAAAACAAATATTTTGGCTCAGAAATTCAGATGTAGGCCACCATTCCTTACCAGGGGTTTCCTGTAAAATATCAGAGCAGGCTGTAGGACCAGCTGTGTCATACAGCAGTCTCACAATTTGCATATCTCTGTAGGAACTCACTCGCTGTCTGTTTGAATATTCTTCATTCCATCAGTTGCATCTGATCTGGGTCACCACAGAGTACTTCGGAGAAAGCCCAGGATGCCCAGTCTGCCTGTCTGGTCACATTTAATCACAAACTAGTGATTTTTCATTTTTTGCCTGGTACTGCAATCCAATGACTGTCTGATGCAGCTGATGCTTTGGATGTTGTTCAGAAAGTGGTATTTTGGATGCTGACAATTTCAGATTGTTGTAGTCTCAGCACTTAGTGGAAATTCAGCTGTAGACGTGACAAAGGCATTAAAAATAAAATTTTGATAATGTAAGACATCCTTATATGCACTGCAACCTATTTTGAGAGGTGTGATTTTTTGCCAAGTGATCTGCTCATCCTATAAGTTTCCATGAAATTTTATTCAAGCTCAAATTCATTAAGGGAATACAGCACAAAATTAAAATTTGGGTGGAGAAATTGGCCACTAACCTTTTGTAATCACAGTTCTTCCACAAATGCTGACTAGCAATATCTTCCTGATGGTAAGCGCTGTCTTTTGTAATTCCGGCTCCTCTCTTATTCTGAACCTCTTAGGTTTGCTTCTGTGTTACCTACTCACTAGTGTCAGTTCAGCAGAGGGTGGTGGTGTGAACCAGACCACAAAAACACTTTTTGGGCCATTTTTCTTTCAGCTGGATCAGTTCCCTGATCCCGCTCACAGCAGTGCCCCATGAGCAGCACTGCTGCCACAGCAGGAGGGTAGGTTTGCCATAACACCGGAGTGGAACCAGCAGCTGAGGGCAGGAACTTTTTGTAATGCAGTGTAACGGACCATCCTGATTTAAAAAAAAAACATTTTAATAACTTCCTTATAAAAACTGAATGGAAGAAAATCCACTGTTGCCACTACACGTTAGCCCCAGATACATGTAGTAAAACTGGCTAGACAGGAAGAGATTTTTGTGGCTAGAATTGCAGCTTCAGTTGAAATTTGCTATCTTATTTTCTCACTGTGATAGCTACCTATTCTTCTCCTACTGTATACTTCCCAATTGGGGGAAGTCTCGTGTCCAGAAAATGAATTTTATTCACCCCAAACTCTGTTCTCATTCACATTTTAGGACACTATCCAAAGTCATTTGTCTATGCAAAATTTTGTCCTTAATTTCCTTTCAGTCAAGAAGTTGCTTAATAATTTGAGAAAGTAGGCTGAGTTTTCTGCATCTGAATTTCATTTTGCACAGAGAGTATAAAAACTGTCCTGTAAGCTTGCATTTTAACATCCTTGAATGAACAGGTGCAGAAATGCAGCATAAAATAAATCAGGGATTGGAGAGTGATTTTAAAATCTCCGGAGCACCGTATAAATCTATGGCATGATATCCACAAAGACTACTGAATAATAAAACACATCCTTCTATTCTCACATTCACCCCAAAACTCTTCACTGGACAGATAAAGACCAGGCAAACACCCATTTTCCCCCAAGATGAATGTTGCATTTATAAAAAGAAAAAAGAACCTGTTACTTTTGAAATCTGTTTAAATGCTTCTTAGAATTTATATTTTCTAATTAAAATTAAGTGCAATTATGGAATGAAGTTTTCTTTGCCCGCATGTACATCAGGATGATGTTAACATATTTTTGTTAAAAAAAAGAAAATAATACATTGAGTCAAAGGTTGTACATCCAGTTAAACGTTTCATTTTTTAAATTATTGACAGGGTTTAAGAACAAGTGTTATGATATTACAGAGAGTGACCCTTGCTAATGATCTGAGAGGGAACTCTCTGTGGCAAAGTAAGGAGTACACACAGAGAGGAAAGGAAGCGAAAAAGTGATGTAAATATTTCTCTCAAGCATGCATTTAGCTCTATTCCTGTTACATCTACCTATTGCTTTGATATCTTGTTCTCAAAGGGGTGGGAACCTGAGTCATTGCCTTGGCCGATGGCAAGTTCAACAGCTTGAAAATTATGACTACAAAGGCCATTTAGGCTATGAGGAGAAAATTTAGGGTAGAAATACCCCAACTAATGAAAAAAGGTTGTAATACCAATTGATCATACCACTGTGATTTGCAAGTTTGTGGTTACAGAGGAAAACCTGTGCCATGACTATGCTATCAAGACAGCCACAGAGAGAAGGTAGGGAATGGCACTTGCGTACTGAGACACCTCTGCAGCTAGGCTTGGGGAGACAGTTTTATTTCAGTGTAAACAGGTGCACACTCTAATTCTGAATGCTCTGGTTCATGATAAGATCAAATTCAACGTAGAAAAATGAGACTAGATGTGCTTTGGGTCATATAGTACAATTCTCAGAAAAGCAAAATAATAAAAAGAATGAAATACAAATAGGAACAGTTTAGTGCTTCTTTGAAACTGCATGATTTTATGGCACCACTGGCTAACTTTTATGAATTTTTATTTACACTTTTAACTGTCACATCTTCCAAAATCATATTAGCGTACTCATTTTCAAAGGGAACAACTGCTTCTCAGCATGCTTCCTTTGCGCATACCAAAACACTCAAAAAGAAAACAACAGCATCAACTGTACAACGCTATCAAATTATATTTTTAGGACAACTAGTAGAAAACAAGTGAGCAGGGACTCCCGCAAACTGCTTCTGAGGATTTAATGGGACCCTTTGATATAACTTAAGAATCAAAATGATTCAACACAGAGGAGCACATATGGAGCATGTCATGCATTGCCTTGACTGTAATAAGAAGAGCAGAGGTTTTTGGTCTTGGGTTTGGGAGTACGGTTGGGTCAATCTTATCTCTATTTTCCTCTACTAAAAGGGAAAAGAGTGATTCTTTTCCTGATATGTTTCCAGCTTCTGCCAACTATCTGGTCAGGGACTCTGAAGCAGACTATTCTCTGCTTAGGAATGATAGACACCTCGTTCACTTTCTTTATCATCCATGCACAAGATGTAAGCTAGGAGCAGTTAGTCACCTGTCATGCCTTTTCATATCTTCTCATGTCTTTGATTAGTGACCTGTCAAATGCCAGCTAGATTCAAAGATTTATTTTTAAACTCGGTTCCCCATGTTTAAGTACGTTATCTATTATCCGATGTTTGAAGCAGAGACTCTGTTGTGACAGATCCGGACTTCTATTCATACCAAGCAGAAGAATTTTACTTTCCTTTAGCAATAAAGGCATTTTAGCTACTTATTCTCTGCTATTAAAAAAACAAAACAAAACAAAACCATTTAATATCATTAGGTTAATTAATTTCATCTATCATCCTCTTTGCTACACAAATTGATATGGCTACATATGAAAACCCAAAAGCTGGCTTTTAAACATACATTTTTATTTCTGCATATGAATGCTCAGTTCCTCACCAAGTCATACAAAGTTTTCCAAATTATAAGATCCTACATATAGCTATCTGATTGACTGCATTAAAGATCTGCTTCTCTGCAAAAACTATTCCCTGCTTTTTAACAGATTATTACATGAAATGTAAGTACGAATGATCACATATACACTGAACAACTGTCTACCTTAAAAAAAGACTGTTTTAGCATTGACTTACTGTGTAATTTATGTTCCTGATGAATGCTGGAAATCTCATGGGTTCTGTGCTTAAAAGCATTAAAAGCATTTTCTCCCTTGAAATATGAATTAAACCCAAGACACTTTAACAAAAATATGTTCAAATACCTTACCAAATGCCCAGTCATTCCTAGCTGAATAAATCATGGTTTCCTAGTAGACTGAGAAAGCTACATGAACCAGAGTCTCTGATGATTGACCTCCTTACCAAAATTTAAATAGCTTAGGTCTTATAAAGTTACTAAATATTCTATTGTGAGACTACCAAGCAAATGTTCTTAAATTCAGTAATAATGAATGCATTAATATATAGTACTGTAATTTAATTCATTGGACTTTATTAAATCAGGCAGATTTCTATTCCTGGTCATGATACTACTCACTGCCTGGTACCATGACAGCATTTCCTTTAAAGTTATGGAGTTTTCTTAATTGTATTACTTTCTCTTTTGGTTTTTGTTGTTTGTTTAAAGGCACTTCTTCCTGAGAGTAAGTTAAGCTTTGTAAAGGCCATAATTTAAGCTCTTTATTTGATTAGGTCTTTGCATATAGAGACTTACCAGTTTATACGCTTTGTACATAGCATGGTATTTTTTTCTTGCAGCCTACCCACATTGGGTGGAGAAACTTAATGATACTCAATTAGACAGCGGAGATCAGCTCCGATGGGAATGTAAAGCCACTGGAAAGCCAAGGCCCACATATCATTGGCTGAAAAATGGAGTTCCTCTCTGGCCACAGGTACATTAGATGAGGAGTCACCAGTATGTTGCATGTTTCTCCTTTCATTCAGATAAAGTCAGTTAAAGAAAGTACTGAAAAGTACTTCAGAAATTACTGTTTTCTGTGTTAGTTTCTTAAGTGTTAGTGTACAGACAGGTTTTCTATGTATGTTCCCTCTGAACCATCTCAAGCAATGTAAAATTGCATTCATCAGTAATTCTCTATAGTTCAGAAATATTTGGCAGATGGGACCTTCTGAGCTGTGTCTGCAACAGCATCTGCCATTGTAGTATAATGTACATGTAAAAAACCTTCAGTATGTTTAATTTTTTTTTTCTTTTACATAGTGGTATTATGTTATTTGTAACTTTTTTTTTTCTGTATAAAAAGATAGTAACCACTCAGAGAAGTGCTGTATTTGCTGGATCAGATTCCTTCATATTTCCCCAATGTTATGTTATGTTATGCTCTTTACCATATTTTATTTGTACATAATCATACCCTTCAAAACACTAGCAGGCTAATGTAAGAGGCTATTATATTTTCATCAGTTTTCTGATTAACTCCATTAATTCTCTGCAAGTAACGGAACTCATCATCAAGACCATTAAAATGCTCCATGTAAGAATCCTAGAACGTAAAGTCCTTAACTACATTCACCTGATATATTTCAGAATTAGACCTAGATAAAATTCTCTTCCTTTTAAAAGACCACTCATGGCATGGCCTGCCTTTTATTTCATTTTGTTCTGTTTCTCTCACTGAATCATCAACACGTCAGCCCACATCATGTTTTGCTTAGCACCTTTCCATTTTTATGGTCTCAAATTATTTAGAGTAAAGAAAAGTTTTGTAAATTTATTTCATGCATTTTTCCAGATTAAAATAAAGCTGTTCAATTCTGGGAGAAAATGTCTCCATTTGTAAGTGAATTCACAGAATGGATTTATGAATATAAAAGATGTAATGTCTTTCTTTTCAGTGAATGTCGCTTCTATCTGTGAACATCATCCAATTATGCAAACAATGAGAAAGGAAACGTAAACACAGTTCACTTTTGAAGCTGTGAGGCATTGAAAATAAGGTTATATGCCTTTACTTTATCCATTTCTGCCTTTTTAGATGGAGCTATTAGTCCTGAAATTGAAGCAATTTAAATATCTTTTTGGTTTTCTGATTTTCCAAACCATTAGTTGCATCAGGCTCTGAAATTTCAAATTAAATTTCAGTTTAAACTAGGGGCTTACAACAGAGAGAGCTTTTATCACAGTTTCCTCTGCATTCCCAAATACTCTGTTCTTTATCAATTTTTAATTAAACCTACAACAACTGTAGTGATGAAACTTAGGGATGTTTTATAGCAGTTCAAATTATTCATTATACAGCTCCAAGAAGTATACGTTTCCATAAACAGCTATTAATGCCCTTTCTTTTCCAGCTGTGGTAATTATTTTCTACTAGTGGACCTTTCAAATAAGAAGTTGCACTAACGATGAAAGCAATTAGACCCTTTCACTCTTACTCATGCAAGCAATCTTTTATATCTACTTTTATGAAAATAGGACCATGACTGAAACCAAACATTTGCTAGAGATGTGAGGATCATCAGATAAGTTATATCCACAGCTGGCTTCTTGACTCATTAAAGTTCCCAGGATGAACTGCTTTTAAAAATCATGTAAGGGTAATAGCAGACAAACAAGCAAACAGACAAAAGTAAGCCTTGGAGATAGTGAACTTGCACTGAAAAATATTTACCTTTAAATATTTTTGGAGTTTCTTCTGCCCTCCCCATCTGCTTTATTCTTGTCATTCCTTTTATAACAAGAAAAAAGTAAACCCAAGGAAATTTGTTGCTCACTTTTATTTTAGCTTAATAATGTCTTTTGTTCCTTTGCCTTAAGCTAATAGCACAGCAAATTTCCAGTGCCTGTTTGCTTTTATAGAATTTTTTTTTTTTATTCCATTACAGAGCAGGATTGAGATGGTTAATGGTGTTCTGATGATCCACAGTGTGAATCTCTCAGATGCTGGAATGTATCAGTGCTTAGCAGAAAATAAGTATGGCACCATTTATGCCAGTGCTGAGCTGAAGATTTTAGGTGAGTATTATCGAAAAAGAACAGACTGTTCCTTTTTTTCCCTTTGATAATTACATTTGTTCTTGGTCTGTTATGATAAGGAACAGCTTCTGCCAGTCCAAACTTAGCAGAGCAGATAAAAGCGGGTCCCTTTTTCTTCTTGTTATTTATGTGTGAGTGTGTCCTTTGTTGTCCGAGAGAGCACAGGTCCTTCTGTTAATTGAAAATTTTCTTTCATAAATTACTGACTCAGTTACATTTTGTGACTATTTCTCATATAAGGCTATTTCAGTTCAAATACACGGAAAAATATTTTTTACTCCTTTAAAAATAAGTGCAGGAAAAGAAACTTAGAGAAAGTAAATATATTTTAGTCTCTGTTAAAATTAAATTATTATATCTACCAAGGCCATTATTCAAAGGTAATTAAGCATGTTTTAAAAGTGTAAAAATTTCCTATGAAGTCACCAGAACTGATTGAATAGTGGCAATTACATACTTGAGCTAATATAATCCCATAGTAAAGCAAATACTCTACATAATATTACCCAGAAATATAATAAAAAATTCATTATTCAAAAGTTGAAGTGGGGAGTTAATGAACAAAAATTTGAAGTGTGTCTTTCCAACACTCTAGTTTTCCTTAAAGCAAACTGTGGTAACACACAATGGGACGATAGTGATAAGAGGACTTCCATGGGGTTAAGTGAGACAGACTTGTAAGAGTCTCATGATCTTTATTAGAGTATGGAATAGCTGGAAGACAGGTGTCTGTCAGAGTAATTCAATGGCCATATCAGTAATTGGAGGTCTCTGCACTGCTCAAACCTTGCAAATTTCAAAACCTGCACCTGGGAATCATTCTTGTAAACTCCCAGTCAAATGAATAATAAAGGTGAAGTTACTGAAATAATATACGACATTTGAGCTAAGATTCGGTTCTTCTGAAGAATAACCTAAGTACATTTCCATTATTTCCTAGCTGGCCAACATTAGAATTTCACTGATAACTCTTCAACATATTTCTGTCTAGCCATAAATTAAAACCCACAGTCAGTGGTTGCAGTCTTTCCATCACTTTCCTTTGTCATTTGTGATTCAGGCAGCAAAGAGATCCCTGTTGGTTACAATGTTCTCTTGCTTTGTTTTTCATATGTATTATAAAATAGGTATACCTATTATATCAGGTAGTTGTACACTTTCTTTGATGTTCTCTAATATCGGAAATGGCCATTATATGTTGCTGCAGTAAAATCAGCCTTTCATTTTGTCAGTTGTGAAATTGTACCCCTGTTAAATTTTAACCATAATGTTGCATTAAAAAAACAGTTGTGTTTAATTTTCTGGATTATTAAAGGGAAAAGAACAGAATAAAATGTCCATATAAATAGCTCTGGTATGAAAATTACCCAAAATAATGGTAGGAAATTCCTACATATTTGAGGCAAAGGAGTGTAATATGTTCCTATATGTGTAGCTGAGATAGTTGCAGCGGGGGCTTTGGTTTTGCAAAACTAGTTTAAGAAAAACACAAACAAATGAGATTACTTGAGAACAACTACCCCTTCTTGGTGTGAAATTACAGTAATTAGTGTCACTTTGTGATACATTTATTACCTTAGCTGATGTATTGTAATCAATGGGACTTCTTGAAAAGTGAAATACTAAGAACAAGACATGGTTAAATATCTTCTATTAAGAAGTTCTTACTTTTCAATTCCCAGTGTTCAGACGACTATAAAAAGGGAAAGCAATAAAATTTCTCTAACAGTAATACTTTTTGTGAGAATTAACTCTAGAGAGTGCATTTTGGATAGCTGTGGAATTTAAACTTCTTTTCATTTTTAACTAGTTACTTCTAACAAGTTATCTATGAATTCCAAAAATTTTGGAAAAGGCGCAGCTAAATTAACTGTAGTATTTAATTTCTAAAGCTGTTGGATTTCACAAGCAATCTTATTTAAGTACGCTGATGTGAAGGACATCTCACTACTTCATAAGTGGATTAAGTTATAGACCTGCCATCTAGTCTTGGCTGCTGATTTCAAATATTTTGTTAAATTCCATCTAATCTGTGGTGTAATAATTTCCAAGCCAAAAATGGAGATTCTATCCCCAAAACCGAATCTATTATTCTAATCTTCTATTAGAATGTAATGAAACAGGTTGTTGTGATTGTTCTCTGTAGAGTTAACGCATTTCTTTTTAACAGCTTCAGCTCCCACTTTCCCACTAAATCAGATGAGGAAAACAATAATTATTACCAAGGGCCAAGAAGTTGTCATTGAGTGCAAGCCACAAGCCTCTCCAAAGCCAACTATCACTTGGAAGAAAGGAGACAAAGCATTAAGGGAGAGTAAGAGGTCAGAAGCCTGTTCGGTAAACTAAATACTGTGTTTGCATATTTGATTCTGTGATATGACATGACAATACAGCAAGTGACAAGAACATGTATATGTTAGCATGGATATGGCATAATTTTTTTGTCAAGCTGATTTGTTTGACAGTAGTGACTTTATTGTTTCCACAATATTGAACTGAAAAATCTTAAAATTGTTTGGAGATGCAGACAGATGAAAATAAGTTATTATTTTGTTTTTTTCTCTATTTTCTGTCACTTGTTTAAAAAATGCTTCAGTTAAACTGTAGAGATACTACAAATTTAGTGTATGAGGGTATTAAAAGCATAGAGGCTGAAGTAGTTAGGACCACATAAAATATCAAATGTGCTTATTCATTTGAAATAATTTTAATAAGGCAGATTTGCAGCTTGATCACAATGGAAGTCTGCCTAAGAATAGATTTTAAATGATTCAGAGAAGAAAAATACAATTCCATTATAGGATTTAATTATACAAGTAATTTCTGTACTCAGCAGCACATCTGTTTAACAGAATATGTTTGATTAAATAAGTTCCGTCCAGCTCTGTACATTAAACATAGTTTAAGCACTGCAGGTTAAATGCCAACTGTAATTGCACTTTAGAAGATTGCATGTCTGTACACTAGAACAGTTTTGCCACCCTGCACATGATCTTTAAGTACACAGAGCCATCTTATCTTCTTTCTGGTAATGTATGTGAATGAACCTCTTAAACTGACTTGTGTGGCATTAGTCAAAAAGATAAAAGCAAGGGCTTTTTGTTCGTTTGTGCAATACTGATGAAAGCAGTAGAGCGCATCTGTCTTCGTTAGCTGCAAAAGCCATTTAATTCAGGTGAGTTTTATTTTCATCCCATGCCATTTGTTTTGTTCTGAGAAGGAAAAATGGGTAACTTTTCATGCCATATTGGCTCTTGGTGGGGCAGAGCAAAACAGCATTATATACAACATTTTACTAACAGGTGTGAGTTGCATAGTACATATTGACAAGATATAACAGAACGATATTACAAAAATGCTGATAACATCAAATATTTTGAGACTGATGCCAAATATTTTGAGACTGTAGCTGTAGCTACACAGTTATCTCACCACACGACCTTTTCCTCTCATCTCCACAAAAATCACTGTGGGTTCTCTGATCACCACATGTAAATCACATTTTAATCCAAGGGCAGTAAAGCATTTTGGTAATTACTTGATGTCTATCCAAACATAGCCTAACTCTGAAGTTAAAATCTCATAAGAATAAGATCTGGAGCTACATTTTTGGTATTTGCAGCCTTTGATACTTGCTTATTTTGACAGAGGCTGGAACAGGAAATGATGAAACATGGAAGATAAAAATTTGGTGGAACTATTTCAAATCTTTGAAAGGCTTGGGTTGTGTTCAACTTGATTTTTAGTCAGCTGTTCAGGGAGTATCTTGTGTCATTCAGAGCAGTTCCCCTGCATTGACTGTTTACAGAGGAGTGGGGGTGAGGGGAATATCAGTTTCAAGGGAATTCAGTTCTGCCTCTACATACAGTATGCTTTAAACAACAATAACAGAGTCAGTTTGAAGAGGAGATGAGGAAGCCTATCATGATTTTGGGAAAGGAAGTGTAAATCAATTGTGGTAGTTTGTGTGTTTCCATGTTTTGGGCACTATGAGAAGGAATCATTGGAAGGGAACTGTGTAAAACATTTTAAAAAGGAATAATCTGACATGATGAGCACATCTATATACTTTAAAAATGGGCTTTCATCATAGACTGCTGGTAAAAATCCCAGCAAAAACCAATTAGGAACTGTCATGTGATGAGTTTGCGTAGAACGTTAAACCATCAAAGATTCAAAAAAAAAAAAAAAAGCATTCTGATTAAATAGTAAGGAAGAGCAAGGATAGAACAGCAGAATATATTTTTTCTTTTCTGCTACAGCTTATTCCTCTTCTAGAGTACTTGTACAAAGTGCACGTTGTATTTTATTTTTGCCAAGTCTGCTAGCCCAGAAAAGGAATTCACTCTGTTTAGCCACATCTATTAGAAAGGTCTCAATACAAAAGAGATCTTTCCCACTACAGAGAAGAAATTCCACTTGACTAGTGGGTCTGCTGTCATCTAGTCCACCTCTTCCAAGCTGTGTTGCCTCTTTAGGTGTTCCTCCATACAACCAAAAGCTGGTTGACAGAAACACCTCAAGTGACATTTCCATTTGTAACTGAGCAGAAGGCTGAGTTTGTTCCTACGGGACTCGTGGCTGGGTACAGTTCTCACAGCAGTCAGACCTTGACTCTAGCTCCTGGAATTTAATGCAGTCTGAAAGCCTCAAATGTTTCAGATTCATTCAAAAGGCTAAAGCCACTCACTTGGCAACATAACTGTGGAAAGAATCTTCATGAGCTCCATCTCTTGGTCTGTTTATACCTATGAACAAATTATCCAACTCAAGGTCTTCATATTCACAGTCTGTCTATGCTAGGTTTGCTCTCCCTGGTGAGCAATCACTATTCTGAGCAGTCAGATCAGTTGATTCCACTTGGAAAGCATCTGTATAATATAACAGCTCTTTTGAACTGGGTTCTGAATGAGTGGCAAGTCTATAAGGTAGAGAAAAAAAAGTAGGATATTCACAACTATTTGCTGACAAAAAGTATCATTCTGAGTGTTACAATCTCATAAATGTTTTAAATTTGATGAAATTACTCTTATAGAAACATACTTATTTAAGATTCCAAAGTATTCACAATTCATTCTATTAACCAGATGTAAAGATCAAGACCTGCTGCAGAAGCCACATTTTAGTGAAATAAAATATATGGTATTGGAGATCTACTATGCAGAAGACTAAAACTTCCGAAGAACAAGGCGTAGTTTGTGAAGCTTACTGATACAGGACATCTAATGATATCTATCAGCATTTGAAAGGAACTACGTGTAAAATTCAAATCTCTTTCATATATCAGTATCTCAGTGAGTCATTAATACATTCAAACAACCATAAGTTCATCAGCATTTTCACCTAAAAGTTAAGAGGAGGATAAAAAAAAGCTATTGTTATACTTCTATTTTGGAACTGGAACACACGTGAGCACAACAGCAATGGGAGTTGCATAAGCAGAGAAACACATTTAAGCTGCATATTTTCATTAGTCATCTCACAATAATTAAAATTGTTAACTATCTTTACTAACCACTTGTCTCTGGACTTTATAGTCTCATAGGCTCATGGATGACTCTGTGTCATTTATGGCAGCCTGTGATAATGTGTACTCTGCTTATTGATTTGAATATTCATTTTTTTAGTCCATAAGAATTTTGTAAAGAACTTTTGAATCTTTTAGTTCATATGTAGTTTTGGTTTTGTAGAAAAGTGGATTATATTGGGATCCAAATCTGAAAAAATAAGTTTATGCTTCAATTTGTAATAAAATATTTGTCTGGAACTTTGATTTAGGTCCTAAATAGGAAGAATTGGGCCCTTGGGCAAGAGTACAGTGATCAACAAATATTTTTGTGAAGTTTCTGAAATATTCCAATTAGATACTTCCTTATCTGTAATCAAACCCTCATTTACTATTTTAGCATCAGCTTCCAAACAAGACCCAGACTCAGACTATTCAGATCAGAAAGCCAGTCAGAAGCCTGTTTCTAGTTAAGCATTTTTTAAAACTTATGTATCAAGCTAAAAGAAGGCAACAAAAGTAATATTTAATAACATTATTTTATGTAGACAGTAAATTTTATAATACACAGTAGAATAGACTGGAATCTGCTACCAGTTACATCAATATAAATCAATAAAGTGAATGCTAATAAAGTGAATGCTTAAATTCTAGACAAATATTTTTTATAAATTCTTTCCGTTCCTGTGTTCAGGCTTCTGTAAATTGCAGGTATTTCCTAATGATTTACTACTGCACAAATTTTTGTGAGCCGTTACTCCATGAGCTGTAATCTCCCTTTCACCACTTTCTTAAAGTCACTTACCTTTCTTGTCTAGATTGCCCTGCAGTGGTGACTACATCTGTTGTTTAAACAGATATGCTTGAGGAGTCATAAGTATTAAAAAGCATTATAAGTCGTTGTTCATCTGTTTTTGTTCTTTCTCCTACATCAAAAATATTCTTCTCATTAAACTTATATTGAATTTTCTAGCTCATTATTTCCATTACATATCCATTAATTATAGTTAAAATAAAATAATCCAAAAGCACTCTAGCAGTGCAGAGAGTTCTATTCAGTCCCTATTTTTTCTTCTCCATTCAGACCACCAAGAAATGAAAAAAAAAAAAAAAAGCACAATTTAACCAACAAATGGGTAACTGAGGAAGCAGGATTTTCATAGTGCCAATTTTATGCTGCTTTATTTTGCTTTTGTTCCTTTTCCTTTTGAAGCTTCTCAAATAATAATGCTTATTTTATCAATGTTTCTTGTATATCTCAATTTGTGTGCAGATTAATAATTAATCTAAAAAAAAATCTAAATACAGTGATGTCTAAACATATATGTATGTATTGGTAGTATAGTTCTGTGTTTATTGACTGCTCCCCTTCTGTATGGCACAGTCTAAGCTTTCTTCTTCACATGACAGAACAAGTTTTGCAGAAAAATGTTAACAGTCTCTGAAGGTCAGATTCAAAACAGATCACCATGAGCGGAACAACAGTGCCAGTCTCTCTGTGGCCATTGTATAATTGCTCATATTCATCCACTTAGGTCCAAGGTTAACTTTGCCTGAGGACCTAAATTTATTAAGCATTTCTGTGAGAAAAATAAATGGTAGCAATACTCCACCTGCCACTTCAATTCAGCCACTTTTCCTATGGAGCAATTAGTTTCCTACATTCCACTTCTGTTTGAAGGAGTTCTAGAGATAAGGTGAAGAAAACTTTTGGCAAGTTAAGCAGCAGAGGGAATTTTACATAGTTTGAATGCAATAGCCTGGCCTGGGTTTGGCCAGGACACAAACTTCAACATGCCTATTCCTGCAGTAGACATCATGGTGGTTTTTT